GTGTGTGAGTGAGTGAGTGAGTGAGTGAGTGTGTGTGTGCTACAATGAACTGTATGCATAAACTGTGTGTACCGAAATGTATTTTTACTTTAAAGGTTTAGTTTCAGGATCTCTGTTGAAATTGCCTGTAGAGTTCTATGCATGATTTTCTATAGTGCTGAAATGTCTTTGACTCTCTGGTATCTATAGATTCTCTTTCAGTGCTGTAGATGCAGTGGTCATGGTGCTCAACCTGTGCTCGTCACACTTTCAGACCTCCATTCAATGCAACAAGGTACCACACAAATCACAGCCCATTATGCTGTTAATGCAGCTTGACCTCAGGTTAAAATTACACTCATACGGCATTGTTGATATACAGACTGAAATGAAACATTTAAACAATATCACATCAACAAGAGCTGTTCTAAATATCAATACCGCAAAGAATACGGTGTTTGTTTTTAGCAACAGTGCAATTTTTTAGGAAATTTACTGTTATAATTTACTCGTGTCATTCCAACCCAGTGTTGTTTTCTTTCTTCCATTTAACACAATAGGAGACCATTGGCATAATTAACAGTAAAAGCTATTTAAATATGCTTCATTCAGAGTCTTTAGAAAGCAAATAATGCTTTTGTGTAAGAAGCTGTTATACTATATTATACTAAATCCAGTCTCTTTACCAGATTATGCTGCATCTGTTTTGTCTGGTCTCCAAAACCAGTATTTTATCCGGCACCTAAAACTGTATTTTATTTTAAAGAGAGGTAGACGGAGGAATCCTGTGGATGATAAAAATGAACAGGGTTTATTGAATCATTTTAAGTGCTTGGTTATTTTTATTTGCATATGTCTATCACAGATGCAACATATATTGTTATATTAAACTGCTACACAACAAAATTGAGATATATCCTCTTATCTGTTATTCGTGAAGACAAATATTCCACAAAACCACAATCGTGAGATAAAACGACAATAGCAAGCATTGCTAGAGCAAGGAAAAAAAGTAATGTACAATATAAAAATAATAATGAAATTGCATAAGTGATTAAATGCTAAATAGCATAAATGATTAAAAATGATAAATTAAACAACACGGACTGCTACCATTGTTATTTTAGTGTCATTGATATACTTTTTAAATTTTTGTTAATATTTTGAACTAAATTTTATTTTTATATTTTCTGTTTTTACTTTAATTTTAGTTGTTGTTTTTTTTTGTTTTTTGTTTCAAATATGTGCATATAGCTTTTATATTTATTTATTTTTTTAATTCTAGGTTTTAGTTATTTTAGTACATCAGGTTAAACTAAATGGAAATGAAATGTTGCCTTGGCAGTTGGCTGTTTTCTTATATTTTATTACAGTTAACGTTTTATTTTATCTTTAATAAGCCTGGTTGCTCCGGAAACAAATCCTTCGGAACTACATTTAAATTATTTGCTTATTTGCATGAAAAGGAGCACAGAATGTTCCGTGGAATAAACAAAGACAGTCATACAAGTTTCGAACAACATGTTGCTGAATACATAACGGTATTCTCAGTTTTCAGTGAACTTTTCCTTTAAAACCCCTCTCGGAAATCCCTTTGAATAACCTGATGGTGAGTAATAGAGGGTTCAGCTCTGACTGCTTTGTGTCTTGTGTGCGTCTGAACCGACCTTGCAATGTTCTCTACCAAGAACACACGTCTGTGACTATTCGATACGTGTTTTGATATTGTCATTGGTCCTTCAACATCTTTTTTTTTCACAGCTGTGTGCCGACGGTTACGATGTCTCCAACCTTCTCTCCGCGGATCCGATCGCACGCCGGAGGGGTTTCAAGCTTGAATACTTCCTCCGGCCTCCAGTCCACGTCACACTGAGCTTCCAGGTCAAGATGGAGCTGTGTCGGCTGGACGTCGAGCTTTGGCCGTGGGGAATGGATCAGGGCCGAACCTCGCGAAGGCTGGAGATCCTAACGTGTTCAGAACGAGACGGCGATCGGTTCGAACTTGTGTCTCGTTGTGATTTGCAGGAGGAGCTGCAGGTGTGTTTCCTCAACCCTGCTTTTAAACCTCGAGCGCCGTTTTCCGATGCTCCGCCGCAGACGCCGGTCGGAGCAAAAACGCAGGAGCTTTGGAGGCGCGGATCGGTCGCGCAGCTCAGAGTCAGTGTTCCCTACAGCGGCGCCGCGTCAGCGCTCGGCATCAAGACCCTCGCCGTGTGGGCTTTGCCTTCTCGCTGCTGTCCTGCATCTGAACTGGACAAAATTTGGGATGCGCATCTAAACAGCTTGAAAAAAACAGTCCATCTGACCGTCGTACCTCCCAAACCAGATCCCGTCCCAACCGATATCCCAATCCCAGAGGAGTTTCTCGATCCCTTAACACAAGAACTCATGGTTTTCCCAATGATCTTGCCCAGTGGAATGGTGATCGATAACAACACGTTAGAGGAGTACCAGAAGAGAGAAGCCACATGGGGCCGTTTACCCAACGACCCATTTACCGGCGTCCCTTTTACCCAGAACTCAAAGCCGATTCCAAACCCTCTGCTCAAATGCCGCATTGACCGTCTGGCTCTGCAGACGGGATGCACAGGAGTCAGGAGCAGGAATAACCTAATAGCTGAACCACAGCCATCCAGACTCACAGTGGAGGCCAAAAGCGTCACAGACTCCAGTAGAAACTGTGATCATACAGACACTTTACAAGCACAGTCCTTCGCATCGGTTTCAGAGTCTAAAACAGGACCTAATGCCTGCAAAACAGGACGGACACAGAGCCATTCTGCTAAAAGGAAGCACGACTGCAGTTTTCCTTCCACCAGCGATGATCCTGATCGCTCTCCTTTGAGGAAAGCCCATGAAACTCCCTCAGGTTTGTATGGAAGCTGCCATAGAATGAAAAAAATCTGACCCCTTTTTTTTTTTTTTTTAAGTTCTCTCAACTATTGTCTTAATAATTGTACTAAATGTGACCCTGGACCACAAAACCAGTCATAAGGTAAATTTTTCTAAACAGCTTGAAAAAAACAGTCCATCTGACCGTCGTACCTCCCAAACCAGATCCCGTCCCAACCGATATCCCAATCCCAGAGGAGTTTCTCGATCCCTTAACACAAGAACTCATGGTTTTCCCAATGATCTTGCCCAGTGGAATGGTGATCGATAACAACACGTTAGAGGAGTACCAGAAGAGAGAAGCCACATGGGGCCGTTTACCCAACGACCCATTTACCGGCGTCCCTTTTACCCAGAACTCAAAGCCGATTCCAAACCCTCTGCTCAAATGCCGCATTGACCGTCTGGCTCTGCAGACGGGATGCACAGGAGTCAGGAGCAGGAATAACCTAATAGCTGAACCACAGCCATCCAGACTCACAGTGGAGGCCAAAAGCGTCACAGACTCCAGTAGAAACTGTGATCATACAGACACTTTACAAGCACAGTCCTTCGCATCGGTTTCAGAGTCTAAAACAGGACCTAATGCCTGCAAAACAGGACGGACACAGAGCCATTCTGCTAAAAGGAAGCACGACTGCAGTTTTCCTTCCACCAGCGATGATCCTGATCGCTCTCCTTTGAGGAAAGCCCATGAAACTCCCTCAGGTTTGTATGGAAGCTGCCATAGAATGAAAAAAATCTGACCCCTTTTTTTTTTTTTTTTTTTTAAGTTCTCTCAACTATTGTCTTAATAATTGTACTAAATGTGACCCTGGACCACAAAACCAGTCATAATCTTTACTTAATATCCTAATGATTTTTGGCATAAAAGAAAAATCTATAATTTTGACCCATACAATGTATTGTTGGCTATTGCTACAAATATACCCCAGCGACTTAAGACTGCTTTTGATTTAAATTTACATTTAAAAATCGTATTTCATTAACTGATACAATGTTAATATACCAACCTATTGAAGTTCTGAAATCTGTTTAGCACCTTTGTAATACACTGATAACCCCCTAAAACAGGTGGCGATGAGGAAGTCACATGATGAACCAAAGCTCATCACAAACAGCTCTTGCACAAGCTGAGAAAAAAAATACTTATATATATATGGTAACACACATGATACTGAAATAATGCAATAGACATTAATTTAACAACATTAGATGTAACATACAACCCTAATGAACATTACTGGGAAGAAAAAACTAAGAAACAGTTATTTCAACGAAAAAACATCAAATGCGAAATGTAACGGAATTCTGGGAATGTCAATTTATGTTTTTCTTACTGTAAATTATACGTTCTTTTTCCACATCCAAAAACAGTTTTACCATAAAATTACATGAAATGTCAATTACAGTTTTTCAATTTTCGCTATTTTTAACTAAAAATATAGGCATCATTTATGTGATGTAATGAAGACCGGGAACATACGGAAAAACTTTCAGTCTCCACCAGTATAATACAAAAGTTTTAGCGTCTTTCCAAAGAAAAAGTAGCCATTACATATACTTTATATATTATTATTAAACAAATAGTAAAGTATTAAGCCTCTCACCACAGAAAAACGAACTTTCCTGTCCTGTCAGATGTTACAGCTGTTACAGATGTTACAAATACGTCTCGCAGACGTCAAATAGACGTCTCTGAGATGTACCTGTGCTATCGTAGCTAGAACATTGTTGGTTAACTAGGAGTTCATACTGACAAAATTGTGTGATGCTAATGAATGAAGTTATGAAAAATGAAATTACCAAAACAAATGGCAGTAAATTACATAACTACCCTGTTGAAAAAAAAACAGCATATGCTGGTTAGGTATGTTTTGACGCTGGGATGCTGGTTTAAGCTGGTCCTTTGCTGGTTTATGCTGGTCATGTGCTGCCAAAGGACCAGCAAAGGACCAGTTTAAACCAGCAAAGGACCAGCATAAACCAGCAAAAGGACCAGCATAAACCAGCAAAGGACCAGCATAAACCAGCAAAAGGACCAGCATAAACCAGCAAAGGACCAGCATAAACCAGCAAAAGGACCAGCATAAACCAGCAAAGGACCCGCATAAACCAGCAAAGGACCAGCTTAAACCAGCAAAGGACCAGCTTAAACCAGCAAAGGACCAGCTTAAACCAGCAAAGGACCAGCTTAAACCAGCAAAGGACCAGCTTAAACCAGCAAAGCACCATCGCAAAACAGCAAAGGACCAGCATAAACCAGCAAAGGACCAGCATAAACCAGCAAAGGACCAGCTTAAACCAGCATCCCAGCGTCAAAACATACCTAACCAGCATATGCTGGTTTTTTCAACAGGGCAGTGCGTTGTGTGTTAGCTGGGAGAGCATTTGTGGCATACGATTAAGAGTGAACGTGTGTGTATATTTGCTAATAGTTCCCATCGATTAATTTATAATAAAGTTCTGGTTCTTTTGTTCGCTTTCTTTATAATTCCTTTAATGGTTTTGGATCCCCCAGACATGCTTGGTTTCTGGTGTAGCCTATTTCTTGCTCACGTTTGGGTCTGTTGTGTTTCAGAGTTGGACTCACACGAGCGGCGGTTAGCGAACAGTTTAGATGAGGCTCTGAACGCTGCTCTTCACGGGTTACCAGTGTTCACCTCCCCGAGCGAAACCGCTTCACGTGTGGACGCCTCCGCTGGTACGAGACTGAGATCACTTATTACCGGCAATCGTATTCGAATATATTTCACTTCAGAAGCCAGTGTTTAGTTCAGGGTTTCTCAGTCGACGTCCAGTTTAACTCCAATCTTGATCAAACTCGCCTGCTTGTATCTTTCTGGTAATCCTTGATTAGCGTATTCAGGTGTGTTTGATTAGAGCTGGAGCTAAACTCTACAGGAAAGTTTCTGCACGTCTTAAAAAGTCTCAATTCACATTTTCACAAACGAAGGCCTTAAAAAGTCTTAAAATCATGAAGCTGTGGCATTAAATGTTGCATGCAGTGCAAAAAAACGGTCAGTATTTTTGTCTGGTTTCTTAGTATAAATATCTAAACATCCTTGAATAAACATACATTTACTGGAGATAAACACATGAAGTCTTGTTTTCTGAAAATTTAAAGAGTTTATGCTTAAAACAAGAACAAAAACAAGAAACCCTGTTCTAATTAAACACACCATTTTATTTTACTTTTTTTTTTTTTTTTTTTTTTTTTTT